CACCTTCCAATAGCTCTTTGCGATCGAACAAAGAAAAGCATCTCTTTCAGGAAGAGGGTGCCACAGCCGAGGAGGAGGGAGGACAGGGTGGCCATGAAAAGCTCCTTGACCAGGGAGCGGCTCTTGTGGTCGTGCGAGACCTGTGGCAAGAGAATACGAGGAAAAGAGAAGAAAGTGAACTGTGAGAGGCCACTCACCAGGGAGGGCAAGCGGGCGGAGGACGCGAGGCGAGAGGGCTCTTCCGGATTCCCCTAGAATCCGATGAGGACCGGACCCTCGCACTCCCTCGCGTTGCTTACCTTCATCTCGTACACAAAAAATAAGGCCATGAAGGACAAACCAGACCCGATCAGAATCAAGGCTAGCGTGCCGAAAGCCGCTGGATTAACGGGGCTATAGTACGGGGTCTGGATGATCGAGGAGGAAGTCAGAAGGAACGCTAAAGGTCGCTGCGCGAAGGAGGAGGACACGGAAATATGTGCCTCCCGCCATTTATTATACATGCGTGTAAAGCAAGAAAAAAATTTTCGTGGTGCTGTGTTTACCTGGGAGGACATCGTGGTGGAACGTGGGGAGAGGAACGTCTGGCGTCGAAAAGCTCCGTCCTGTGTCAGATGAGGACAGGTGGGGGGGGAAGTCAATCACTGCGCACACAGTAGTCCCTAGCAACGAGTACATCAAGTTGCGATGACACTGTATACTCAAAGCTGGTCATGAGCATGGATAATTCGGTTCACGGGGACGGAGCGAGACATTTGAGTGGGCATTCAATTCCTCAGCGAGTCGAGCGAGGGGTGTAGTAGACACACCGAAGCACTTACACTTTATACACAGGGAGAGGGAAAAAGAAAAACCCCTCCCGTAAACAAGAAGGCTATACACCATTCTTGTGCTCTGGATTGCCTCCGCACGGCCAGCATTGTCGTTGTAGACATTGCATTCACGTGCGCATCGATTCCCACCCCCTGGCCTCCGACAGTCACCGCATCGGGGGGAAGTGGATGCACATAAGGATGAAGACCTCTGGTGGCACAAATCCAGCAGTAGGAGGCGGGAGCCAGTCCTTTGGGGACTGGTACACGCAATACGCGGCTCAACAACGGCAAGAAGAAGGTATGGGTGCAGGACAGATAGGAGAGGGTGTCTAAATGGTACTGGTTCGAGTATGAGAGATCTGAGGCGCGGCATTAGACCTCTCCCGTCGTCCTCGGTGTCCCCACACGCACGAATGATGAAAAAGAAAAGACCCACCTATCGATTCAAACATCGACATGGTCCGTCGGTCCGTCTCCCTGCGCGCTCCTGTCTCCCCTCTTAGCCTTCCGATGCGTGAAACTGACTTCCTCTCCCCCATTCCCACTATCGACACACAGGAAACGGCGACATCGAATCTGGCCTGCTTGGCAACGTGGGCCGTTTTTTCCGTGACAGGGGCCTGGGGGATGCCCACGACCAAGTCTCTGGCTTTGCCGACCGGTTTATCACCAGCATCCGTGGGGACGGGGAGGGAAACGGAGGCCTCGTAGGAGGGGCGAAGGCCACTGTGGAGAGCACCTTGAACTACGGTGCACGTCTGCGGGGTTTCGTGGCATTGCTGCTGGTGGGCATTTTGTTCTACCTCCTGGCCTTCTTCGTGGGCCTTCCTGTCATCGTCTTCCGACCCGCCAAATTTGCACTGAGTGCAACCTTGGGCAGCCTGTGTACCATGGGAAGTTTCTCGGTCCTGGTCGGCCCCCGCGTCCATTTGCAATCCTTGTTGGTATGGGAACGCCTCCCGTTCGCCGTCGCTTACCTGGGCTCTTTGGTTCTCACCTTGTACGCCTCCTTGATCTTGCGGAGCTACCTTTGGGTGGTCGCTTCCACGGGATTTCAAATTGGGGCTTTTGTGTGGTACCTGCTCGCTTTCCTGCCGGGGGGACCGGCAGGCTTGAGGGTGTTAGGCGGCGTGATGGTGAGAGGGGTGATGGGGTGCGGGAAGACCTTGACCTGGTGTCTGTCAATCCTAGTGTCATGAGATAAGGCAGGGAGGCCAATGTCGGGAGGGGGAAGAAAGAGGCCCTCGGGGGGAATGTAAGTGAGCGGTGTAAATAACAAAGCAAAGAATGCCAAGACCTGTCTCCGATCCATGTGTAGCAAGGTAACATGAGGGTAGAAGGGCGACGCGCCCGGTGGTACTTCCTTCTCTTCAAAGAGCCCCCCCAAATCCCAGGGATTCATTCCTTCCGCGCGCCACGTCGCTCCCAGGGGGCAAGCGCAGAGCGTCCCGGCACCCTGCGTCTTAGTATCCTGAAACGTTTTGCTACACGCTCAGATTCCTGCCCCTTCTGTGCAGAAGTCTGTGCGTGACCTGCCCCGTGTATCTCTCTCCTGCCTCCCCCCCCTTTCCCCTCCCCCTTTCACAACGAGCCGCATGTCTTCAAAGCATTTCGCGCCCTTCATCGGACAATCACCGTTCATCTTTGTACCTCTACAAGCTACATTATAAAGCACATATATATATATTTATGCACATATTATCGCCCCAGTCTCATGAATGGACGGCCGCCCCATGTCGTGTTGAGCTGCCTTTGTCCTCCCGCCGAGGGTATCCCATTCCCAACCGCACCAACATCAAGCCCTTCCGATCTTTCCACCGATCCCTCCACCCTCTGGCTGTCTACCCTCCTTTTTTACATGTAGGGCGCCAACCCTACGTACTGCCGCATCAGCACGTTCGGATCCGTAGCCAGGTCTATCAGCACCTCCACTTGCTCTGCCACTGTCAGCATGTCCATTTCCCTCCCCTTCCCTCTTTCTCCTCCTTTTCCTTTCTCCCCTCGACTTGGACACCACCGGGTCCGTGCCCTCCCCAGCTGTCCCTCCACTGCCTGTCGAATGCCATCGAAGCTCCCGTATCGGACCACGTGGGGATTCGTTTCCACATCGTGCAGTAGCACCTGCCTGGGGTTGGCCCCTTGCAATTTTGCCCTGGCCAGCCCTACTTTTCGAAATGCTTCTTTTTGGGTGGTACTGCTTCCTGTGAGGTTTTTCCTCCTATCCCCTGCGGACAAGGGAGCAATCTCCTTGTCCGCGCCCTGCCCGCCCGCCGCGCCCGCCCAGTCCCAAATGGGGTCTCGAACGAAGAGCTCCATGGTGGGGAGGAGAAGGTCTTCGCCCCGCCGAAGGGCGTGAAGCACTTTTTGCATGGCAATTTGCAGGAGTCCCTGTGGGGGCGTAGTTCAAAGTTGGGGGAGAAACAAGGTCAGGTACGGATCATTGTGGCCGCAAGGGGCATGAAAGGGCGCGTTTGTTCCCTGAATCACAGACCTGCCCCCTACCTACCTCGCTATCCAACGGCCGCAGGACATTCAACATCTGCCGCGTCAGACGAAAAGGAATCAGCTCGGGCACTGGCAACGCGGACGCCCCTATCCCAAAGGCGACTCCGAAATCGATTCCCACGACACACGCCGAACGGGTGTCCAGCAAGAAATTCTCCAGGTGCCTGTCGCCTACGCCCACGACGTAGGAACAGATGGAAAAAGCAGCGAGGCTCTTGGCGAAAGTCCTGCGCAAGGTCAAAAAGACCTCGGGGCTGGGAGCGAGCAGGAGCAAGTACTGACGGAGGCCATTCCAGGGAACCCGGGCATGGAACGCGGCAAGTTTCTCGCCCGCCTTGCTCGGAGACAGGGTTCGATACCCGGTGTGATAATCCATCACAGATGGGTAGAGCTGTGCATAGTCTTGCGCCAGGACCTCAAAGGAATCTTCTTTCTCTTCCTTGAACCTTTCCGAGGTCCGAGGCGGATGCCCCCGCTTTCCCCTATGGTCGTGTTCAGAGACCGCGAGCTGAGCACCCCGACGGCGACTCCCTTTTTCGATGGCCAACCTTAGAACAATCGTATTCGAGCACCATTCGATCAACCCCAGGCTCGGGGAGAGGGGAATTATCTTATACGTCTGACACTCCAACCCGTTCTGAGCACAAGCGGTGTCGGCGGCCATGAGCCCGTTCATGGATTCGAACAACCGCTCGATCCTTTCGTCGTTCCGACAGTCTTCCCCACCTTTCACCAGGAAAGGGTAGCTCTTTTCATTGTCCGCGTGCAACACAATCTTCCTCGGCAGTTGTTTGGAGGTACGCGTCTCTACCAAGGGATCGATGCTCACCAGATGAACGTGCAGGTCGGGCCTGGGTGGGCTCTCCCATCGCCCGTACTTTCGATCGTACTGTCCTGGGATCTCGATTTTATGATCGCCGTCGCCACATTCCATACGATACCGTGCGAGCCAGAGACTGTATCTCTCAATGCGCTCCTGCGTATGCTTCGGCGTGCCCTGGACGTTCAATGCCAAGTCGCTGGCCACTTCCTTAAGGGTCTGTCGATTTAAATGCTCACCCCTACGACCCAATTTGGGATCCAACCGCTTGGCTACCTCATTTTTCATCCAGCCGCACGTGTATAGTCCCCGATCTTCCGCAGGACTCTCCGTTAAGGTCTCCCTCCACGCGGCATACACATGCTGTACTTCCTCCTGCGGGACATCTCCCACCTGCAGCAGGGAGCGGATCCGGCCTAAAATAGCTCGCCAGGCGACCGGAAAAGACACCAGCATGGCCACATTTTCCACAAAACGCTCCAAAGCAGGGAGCTGAAGAAGACGATCCAGTTCTTGGGCATACGCCATGGAAGAGAAGCCAGGTTTTGCGACGCGGTAGGGGTAAAAGAGGGCCTGTGGGTAGGCCTGAGCAAGCCGCAGGAGCACCGGCAAGACTGCCTCAGCTTCTGGCGCGTCCAACCCAGCCAAGAGCTGGGAGGCTGCTGGCAGAAAGATCCAAGCCGGTACCGAACCGGCGCATTTCTGCAGGACCTCGCGGGCGACCCGGGCATTGGTTTGTGGCTCGTAGGGGTCGTGGGATTCGCGAATCATGTCGACAAGGCGGGGTAAGGCTGCCGGGGCTTCGGCAGGACACCATGTCAGAGCTTCCAAGTATCGCGCCATGGCCTGTGCTGTCAGCGCGGCGGGCGAGAAAATGTGCTCGCTTTCTCCTCCCTGCTTTCCTTCCTGTGCCATGTCCTCCCTCCGCTCTCTCACAAGCCTGTCACAGAAGCGTGCGAATTTTGCAGCCCTCCGTGCCACGGTCCGGGTGCCTCTTCCCCATCGCCTCCTTCCCTCCTTCTCTTCAGTCATGACCGCCCTGTATGCTTGGTACGTCTCATGTAGCCAGTCCTGGCGCAGGCTTGCTACATTAAAACCTGCAATCTCATCCTGAGTTTCTTGCCCTCTCCACACCTTCCAATAGCTCTTTGCGATCGAACAAAGAAAAGCATCTCTTTCCCTCTCCTGACCGACTTCCCATTTTATCCGCTTGGTCACGAATCCGGAGGCCATCTCGAACCATTCTGCTTTGAGTTGCATGACTTCCATCCATGCGCGCCGGCTTTGCGACCCGCTTTCTCGACCTTCCAAACTCACCAATCTTTGTCGTATCGCCTTCGCTGCCCGGCCCCACAGCACTCTTTCCACGACAGCGGCGCCTCCTCTCCCTCCCTCATCCACCGCCTGCCTCAATTTCCACTTGTCCAACTCGACAAACAATCGAATCTGCGCGGCCCATACGTTGGAGA